CAGCCAGATAGTGTGGGACCATCACTGTGGCGGGTCCTTTCAGCCCACCATGGAAGCACTCGGTGATGCCATGAAGCATGTGCTCTTCACTTTCTCGCCTTTCCTGCAGTCTCCTAGCACCACTTCCAACAGGCAGAAGTGAAAACTTAGGCAGCACCCAGACACACAGAGCAGGTGCAGAACCTTTAGCACACAACTGCGCTTGTCATTTTGCCAACCTGCTAATGAAGGGTGCCTTCTTTCATAGTTTCTTTGGGGACTTCTAGTGACACACTGGCTTGCTCTGGAAGGGGCTGCTTGGTGCAGGAGACTGAAATGGAAAAGGCTGTCTTGGTGATCTGTTGATGGGCTTGTCTCACATGTACGGAGATGAAGCTAGACCGAATGGTGATCCTGGTGTCATGTTTATTTTAAAGACGGACTCTAGAGATGTTGTAGGCCAAATTCCTGGTGGCACAGATGAGGAAACTGAGTCTTGAGTTGAAGAAGTGAGTTGCCCATATCACATGGCCACCTGCACCCCAGGTTCACACTTGTTGATGCAAGTCCCTGTATTTCCAAGAGTAATTGGTGTGGCTCACTTTCTAAGAATGTGTCTCAGTTTCTTGAAATGAAACAAGAGAAAGACTCCTTTCTGAGGATTCAGCCCAAGGGAGAAAAGTAGCGTGAACAATGGGGAAAACCCAAACACTTGCCAAAAGCTCGCATTAAACAATTGTCCATAATTTGCCAGTGCAGTGGCCACACATAACATGGCTTAGTGTCCTTAAGTAAGGGCCAGCAGTTCTGAAGTCCCTTGGTAATTTTCGTTGCCTATGCAGCTGCCTGGGGCCAAGCCACGCACGTGGTGCACCAGGTCACCACAAGCACCATGTACTATACACACAACAGTTTCCATTACAATGGAGCCTTCTGGGGCTTTTCCAGCCTGGACCCTGGGCTCAGACACAATTTCAGCAGAGACAGCATAGGCCTGGGAGAGACTCACAGGCCACACTGCACCAAAATAGACATGTGAAGCCCTGGATTAGCTGACAGGGAGGCGGGGAGGGGGAAAGCTGCTCCCAAACACGTCCACCTGGTGGAAATACTCTGAACTGGAATGAGCTGTAAATAAACCAGACTGTGCTAAAAACAAACAGCTCCAGGAGTTGGGGGAGGGGCAGAAATCAATGGCCTTCACCTGCTCTGATGAAGTAGGTCAAGGGGGAGAGCAGGAGGGATGGGGGCAGTGAACCAGCAGATGCCTTGGCAGCAAAAGCAGCTGATAATTTATGTTCACTGAAGATGCCTCCAGCTTCCCGGAAGATGTGAGAGAAATGATTGCCTTGAGCAATCCAAGGTCTTTCAACAGGGAAAATCAGAGGTGCTGGAAGGGCCACACTGCAGGCCATGTATGGGCTGGAAAATCAATGGAGAGGAGTACAAATCAGCCACACGCCCTCTGTCAGGCTCCCAGGTGTTCCCATGGGGAGGGGCCTGTGGAAAGATGCAGCCTCGACCTTCACTGTCTGCTGAGGCAAAATGGAGACAAACAGAAACTGGATGGGGGAGGGAGCTCTAACAGGCTTCTGGGGCCGGTTTGCAACTGCTACCCACTTCACCAGCCCAAGGTAATGTGGGATAGCTAACGCTGCCCACTCCTGGGTTCTCAACACTGGGTAAAAGCTAGTGCTACAGTCAAGTTCTATAAAACATAGTTCTGTCATTTTCCCACTAAAGCAAAACAACAGCCATGACAGCACAGTATCTCCTGTGGCACATAACTCCACAGACCCCAGCCTGGGACAGCACCACTCTGTGACCTTGGTGAATCAGGGCAAAAGTAAGTCATAACCAAAGACAAAAGTCAAGGCTATCCAACCAAAAGATGATCATTCCACTCTTGTATCTGATTGCTGACACTCCATTCCACTGTCCTTCTAGAAAAGAATTAAGCTACTCATTGATAGAATAGTCTGAGCTGCTTCACAGCAGCTGGTCCAGAGCAATGCCAGCTTTTGCCTCTCATCATCTCAGAACTCACCTACAAGGAGCCCGAATCCTAGAATAAGTCCTAGCACTCTTTCTGTGATTGCCTCCTGGTTCCTCCTGTGTGTGCTCATCCTTCTTGCCATAAACCACAAACCCAATTTGGTTCTGTTTGGATGTGCTCTCTGTAGTGTTCAGTTGGAAGACATTGATTGGTCTTGAGTAGTGTTATGGGAGCTCCTGCCTCCTTCTTGGGTCTCAATCTTCATTTTTGCCCATCTGGAGTCAGAACTAGACTGCCTGGGTTCAAATACAGGCTTTGTTACTTACTAGCTGTATGATCTTGAGCAAATTATTTGACTCACTACCTTTAACTGGTAGATGAAGTTTGGATGATGGTGGTGGTGGTGGTGGTGGTGGTGGTGCTTAGCTTTCAGAGTTGCTGTAAGGATTAGACATGCTTATATACATAAACCATGTATACAGTCAGTGCTTGTCATTAAGTCAGCAACAATCTGTGGAGGTCTAGAGTCTACCAGGTACACTGTTAGACCCTGGAGATGAAACCTGGCCCCTGCCCTCCCAAAAAGCACAGCTTTGACTAGGAGAAATAAGGAAATAATTTTAGCCCAAGTGCTAATTGATAGATAAAGTAACCTATGGATGAATCCAGTTGATCCTGAGAAAGCACCAGGACACAGATAAAACTCCATTGGAATAGAGTTTATTAGCAAAGGAACACATGGGACAGATTCCCTTCCAGGCAGGGAAAATGTCTGCCTGGGTTGTAAGCTGGGGTGTTTTTAAAGGGGGAGGCTTCTGCTTCCTGCCGATGGTGGGAAGATGGATTTTTTTAAGTTGGGCGGTGGGGGGGGGGGG